TTCAGGAGTTCAAGATGTTGAACATGGAAGCTGCCTAGAATTTAAGGGTCAGTCCTTGATGTTGTGATAAAACGGAGACTACTAGTTAGCGTCGATATCACGGCGTTTTGGGGTCTTGGCTTGTGGTCTTGATAAACTGTCTGGTGCTTAGTAGGGAATGGGGGAATGGGTTATAGGGATTACTATAAGGGACTTTAAGGGACTACCATAGGGATCCATTCCCCCATTCCCTACTAAGCACCAGACAGTAAACAATGCCACGGTCTTCGGGTTACCCCCCGTTTTTTTGGAAAACTCGCCACTTTAAACAGAGCTGGAGCCGGTTGAAGCTGGATGGTGCTGCAATTCGTACCTTGTGCTCCTACTAAGTACTACTGGTAGTAACCCTAAACCCTGAACCCTAAACCCTGAACCGTGGTAGTGCTGCTTTCAGCCTGCTTCCCTCCGTATGATTTGGGAGACTAGAGAGTTTTCACATCAGAGCTTAAAATCCTCAGGCGTGGTGGTGACATCCTTGGTGGAAATCACAGCTTCCTGGATTTCGAAAGCTTGACGGAGAAGAGGGGAAGGGTGTGAGTTCGGCTATTTAGTTTTTTGGTGTGTGTGGGTTCATGTGGCGCAAATAAAGTTAAACCCTAAACCTAAACCCTAAACCCTAAACCCTAAACCCTAATAATTTTTGTGGTGAGTGGGCGCGTTTTCTCGTTCAGAGGCTCTAGAGGCTCAGTTCTCAGCTCGGCACCGACTACGAAAGAAGAGGGCTACCCTGCTACCCTATTCAGGACAGTCACTGGAGATTCTAAGGATATTTTGGGAGTTTCCGAAAATAAGGGGTACCCTTTTGGGGTCGTTATAATAAGGATCTACAATTTAGGGTCCCTTATTTTCTGAAACCCCCATTTATCAAGGAAGACTCCAGAGCCCGTGCATTTTCGCTGGATGTTTGCAAACGACAGCAAGGGTTCCACAGTCAGGGTTTGGGGTTTAGGGTTTTAGGGTTTTGGGTTTAGGGTTGACTCCGGTGTTTAGGGTCGTGCAAGCGCTGGCTTCTATTGGAGCCCACGGCCTGCGATGATTCATTTCGGGCAAACATGGGGGGTTGTTTGCCTTCGGAAATCTGAGTTCCAAACATGAAAGCCACTAGAAAGGGTAGGTTTCAATTAAATCCCCTCCGAGCCCGAGGATCTTCCCACAAAGAAACCCATCTCTGCCGTTTCGCGTCTCATTTCGAAACTCTTTTCGTCAGCTTCACTGAGCAAAGCGGCTTGGCATGTGACTATACTTCAGAAAAAAAAACTATGGATCCACAAGGCCTACACCCCATTAACCCTAAACCCTAAACCCTAAAAACCCGACACCCAAACCCAAAAACGGACTGGCGATTCGGTGGAGCCCAGGTCTTCTATGCAACCACCATGCCAGTGAACCCGGTGCTGTTCCGGCTACTGCGAATAGGATCGCCTTTAGGGTTTAGGGTTTAGGGTTTAGGGTTGCATACTGATAGGGACTGCGACACTGATAAGCATTCTTCTCACTGTGCTCATAGAGGAGTTTAGGATTAGGGTTCTATCTTGTTTGTGCAAGAGTCCAGAATGTAGAGTCAGAGCACCCCACTAGTAGCCGAAGGTCACAATTCCGTATTTGAGCTTGGTGCCTGAGCTTAAATCCCAAATCCAAAATCACCCAACCCCAAGTCTAAGTCCTTGATTCGACACTCCAAAGAGACCTTTTTTGCACGTTTTGTGCTTCGAGTTTTCTGGGCTCCCTGGGGCCTTTTGCAGATCCTTCTTTGGCTTTTCGGGGTGTTCATGGCTTTGGGCCTTGATGCGGTCTGAGGGGGGGGGTTTGGGCCTGGGGGTCTCCAAAAAAAGAGGCTTGAATAATTATTTCTTCTACTTTGGAGTTCCTTGTCATGATTCGAATATAACATACCCCAAAGCCCCATTCTAATTATAAAAGCCCCGACATCAGGGGAGGGTTTTACGGGCCAGCAAGTGGATGCTGCCATTGGAAGGTCTGTGAAATATGGCAGTCAACCGCTCAAGTCTGGACACAACTAACAAAGCTAGCTCCATCTCTGTGCAGGCAAGCTTGCACGCGCCTTTCGGATGGTGCACATGACCTCTGCTGCTTGGACGGCGGGAGCTTCCCCTAGCTTGACAATGTGTTTCAGTAAACACACCGACTTTGTCCGGAGCATTGTTTGCTGCCTGTCGTGTGGTCTCTCCCTCACGTTCATGTTTTCCTTTTATATGCAGCTTCTCCATCTGTCGATCCAGTAGCAGGTGGGAGCAATTGTGGCTGTAGAAATAGGAGTAGCCGTAGTAGACGTTGTTGCAGTTGTAGCTATAGCTGCGGCTGTAGCTGTAGCTACAGTACGGCTAGTGGGAGTAGGAGTAGGAGTCGCAGTGGCCGAGGCAGTGGCAGTCGTAGCAGTGGAGCGGCTGTTGCTGTTGTCGGAAGCCCCTTACATGTTGACAGGTCTTGTTCCTCGGACCACCCCGAAACCGGCGCCCTGACATCCCAGAATAGAGGGGCTTCAAAAATTAGAATAGGGTTTCGGGGCCCACGATACTATGATTTTCGTAAGGAACCCCCACAATAGTCTTGGTAAATTATTCAGGCCCCTGCCTAAACCCTAAACCCTAAACCCTACACCCTAAACCTTAACCTAAACCCTAAACCCTAACCTCAAACCCTAAACCCTAACCCTAAACCCTACATAGACAAACCCTGAAATTATTCAGGCCCTTACCTAAACCCCTAAACCCTAAACCCCAACCCTAAACCCTAAATAGACAAACCCTAAAATTATTCAGGCCCTTACCTAAACCCCTAAACCCTAAACCCTAACCCTAAACCCTAAATAGACAAACCCTAAAATTATTCAGGCCCCGCAACACTACCCAGGAGCCCCTGAGAGTCCCAGCAACTCCCATCTCCGAGGTTTAGGGTTTAGGGTTTAGGGTTTAGAGTTTAGGGTTTAGGGTTTAGGGTTTAGGGTTTAGGGTTTAGGGTTTAGGGTTAGGTTCTGGCGTCCCTGCAGTTGCTCGTCAAGCACCCCGGCTGCAGCTCTGGGTCGCCCCTTTTAGGGGTTTAGGGGGTGTAGGGGTCTGTTTAGGGGTAAAGGGGTTCAGGGGGTTTAGGGGTTTGGGGGTTTAGGGGTTTAGGGTTTTAGGGTTTTAGGGGTTTAGGGGTTCAGGGGGTTTAGGGGTTTAGGGGGTTTAGGGGGTTTAAGGGTTTAGGGTCCCTGCCGAAGTGGGCACAGAGTGGGTTCAGGGCCTTTGGGGTGGTGTTGAAGTCTGCAGAATACTGGAAACCTCGGCAGAGAGCAACCATCAGAGATGGACCTTTTCAGAATATAGGAGTTTCCGAAAACAGGGGACCCTAATATAGTACCTTAAGTAGTAGGATCCTTGTTATAAGGACCCCAAAATAGGGTACCCCCAGTTTTCGGAAACTCCCATATGGGTTCGCAGTTTGAGAGCCATCAAAAGGATTCTGTTCTGTTGAGGCCCTGGGGTCGTGTCTCCGTGTCTTGCAAAGTGAACCTATGTTCCCGACACCTCTGTGGACTGAGTGGAAACGCGCCGGTCCTGCAGTGCTGCCTTTCTGCTCTTTTCTGCGGGGTGCCGCATCGGGCCCGTCTCGCATCGTAGTGTCCGCCACACGTGCCGATACTGCGTTTTGCCGACTTGTACAGCGATTACAACCCCTCAGTTCCAACGTATTTGGAAAAATCTCGGATGTGAAGCGCTCATGTAGGGGCCGAAATAGCTACCATGGCTATTTGGGGGGTTCCTGATTATAACCATAGTATAATGGGCCCCAACGCCTCTATCCTGATTCTTAAGGCTCGTATATCAGTCTGCCAAACCAGTCAGGTGCCTCATGTCCAGCGCGAACATGTTATTCTGGAGTTTTTTGCTGCTCCTTGGCTCAATTCATCGCAGACTTCGGCTCCCTTTCGTGTTCTGCAGAAGGACCGCATGCAACCATAACCCGCACCGGTACGAGCCCATCAAGCCCCTTCTTAACGTAGCCTTGGCAGAGGTAAGCATTCAGTTTCCCCGACCCTGGGCCCGCGTGGGATCTTCATGACGAGCTTGGAGAATAGCTTGTAAAGTACCGACATCTGGATTTGTGTGTGTGTGTGTGTTCCGTCGGCAGCATGAGCGGTGCAACCAACAAATTTAATTTAGCGAAGACTGCCAGTGTTGAAGCATGACGCGTTCACGCAAGCACCCGCATCCTAAGTTCAGTCCGGCATCTTCAATCTTAAAGGCTAGAGTATTATCATGAAAATTATTTCTTCACCCGACTGTTCACCGCATGCCCAGGTCCCGGGCCCCCTGAAACCCAGGGTTTCACCATGGGAGGCTTACATTTGTGCAGTGCGTGGCTGGGCTGGTAATCAGCACACTTTGCCTCGACTTCATTGCCGATGCGTCGCCACCCCAGCTGCTACGAGGGAAGTTCAAGATGTGGGCACACAAGTCTTAGAGGTCTGTCCGTTCTCGCACAGAAAACAAGGCAAGCTCAGACCGTTAGGGGAATGCGCTGCATGGCCAGATCCCACTTACAATCAAAGCGACCTGCAACAGCTTTGTCACGCAGGATAGTAGGTGTACACCATGGCATTGCGGCGTGGTTATCAACATCACTACAAGGCACGATTAACAAAACTGCGCAGGCCATTGGTATTCTCGTGCCATGGTTTAGCTCTCACGAGACGTGCTGAATTAGGGTTTTGGGTTCAGGGTTCAGGGTTTAGGGTTCAGGGTTCAGGGTTTAGGGTTTAGGAGTATTTTTCAAACACCATGGTTCCAACTGCACTGGCATTGCAGAGTGATCAGGCAAAGCTGCTGCATAACTGGCGGGTCAGTATATAAAAGCCTTTTCCTCAACGGATTTCAGAGCATACCGCGGGCCCTCAAAGTTAGAGTTTCTTGTATTCTACCATGCCGAAATCCTAAACCCCGAAACCTTACATCTTGAAGGTCGATAGACGTCACCGTGAGGGAGGAGGTGTTCCTGCTCTATGGCACCTTCTCAAGGCCCGGCGGGCCACGATACGCAGGGGTTGTATAAGAGTTCTAACAGGAGGGGTTCGACAAGCGTGCTGCGAGGGTTCTATAAATCATACGGGTTTAGCAGATGGGGCTTCTTGTCGGGACTATACCCATGTTGAACGAGATAGTTGGGGCACGCAACACTCCGTGTCTAGGACTCCCGTGCCCTTGCAAAGTTCCGCACCACCAAACCAGATTTCTGATTCCAGTGACCCTTGCGCTCCAGACCTTGAAAGTCGAGAGCCTCAAGATGTCGAATGTTGAGAGCATGAAAGCTGAGAATATCAAGCGTCGGTAGCTTTAAACCTCACCCGTGGCAGGACCTTCCTCACGATGTTCGAGGTGCTTTTCGCAACTCGTTCTGTCTTTGACGATGGAATTCTGCTGCCGTCTGGCATCGCGTAGTTTTTTAAAATGTCACCGTAGTATTCCTACAACCGCTACAATAACCGGTCATAATCACAGTGGCAGGGCTGAGCCCTTATGATGAGGCCCAATAAGGGGCAACGGTTTCTTGACCATCCACGGACAGAAGTTGAACGGAAGTTCTTCTCGTACAGCGGATCGAACTCTGATTGATCTAACAAAGCATCTACATCGCTTTGAAGGTTACCTCTGGCACCCTAATCCCTGACGATCCAGGCCAATTGGGGTCCGGCCTGCCGGGTTCTGATGGAAAACGCCGTTTGGCCGCAAAACCTGGGTTTTGGTATGATGCCTTGATGACATGGTGTTGCCAGTGTGGCTACTTGTACTAGACTTCTGCATTTCCGATTTCTACTGTTCTGAGGGTTCTCATCCGCACCATTATCATCATTATAGTACACACTTATGGGTCGCGACTCTGGTAGCTCCAGCAATTCATGGTCGTGATTGTGACTGGTACTGTTGCTGCTACTACTGCTACTGCGGCTTCTGATGCTCCTATTCCTCTTGCTCCCACTACCATAACTACTTCTGCTGCTGATTGTTCGGAAGTTCCTTGAGCAGTCTAGGAACCTAGAAGCGTGAGGTTTCCGAGAGCGGGGGGGCGGGGCACGGGGACCTTCGAGGAAGGCTTTTGAGGGTCAGATGTTTTTGCCTTCCCGGGGTTAGCAGGGGTTTCGCGGGGTTTACCGAGTTGACTTCCAAAGCCCCGAAACCCAAAGCGTCGCTCGCCGAACCCCACTTCCGCCGCAAGCAATGCAGGCTGTTTTGAGCTTGAAGATCCCACCCTTCCAGACCAGGTGAGCGAGTGGTTCTCGCTCTTCTTCCTGTTCTACCGATGTATCCTTGGAATCTCGAAAAAACGACTTCCTGGGCTTAGGCCTAGGTTCCCCAGTAGTAGTAGCCTTTTGCCCTTTTTTCTTTGGGGTTCCCTTCTTAAAACCAAACAGAAGGAAAAAGGGTACCCTTATTATCAAGGGGCTACTGGGGAACCTAGAGGCGCATTTGGCGTGTTTGGGGCTTCGTGCTCTTGTGGGCTTGGTCTGAGTACACGAAAGGGAAGGTCCTCGTCAGATCGCATACCTCAGTGGCGGAACGCCGCAACTGTCTCGGAAGCTTGACCAAAGCCCGGCTATCCCCCTAGTGCTGATGATATAAACCCTGCATTACCTTAAGGACCCTAGACTCTGGGAATTATATTATGGGCAATGCAGGATTCATATCATCAACCGTATCGTCCTGAAAGAAGCAGGGCTTCATGTCGCTTCATCGTCGTTGCGAAACCCAAAGGGTGGGTAGCAACCACTTGCTGGCTTGGTTGTGTTGTGTTATTTGCCTTACGTTCTTCGCACACGGTGCCTTAAAAGTTGGGTATGTGAAGCACTGATTTCGGGCTCAGGTCATGATTCGGGCGCTTGGCGCGGGTCATCAATCGAGCAGGTTCTTGTCGTGGGCAAACCTTCTGATCCCTTACTCCCTCTCCTCCGCCCACCCGCCGCGTGCTTTATCTAGAAGGCCTACATGACAACTTATGAACCATAAGCCGCAATGGTGACATCGTACATTGCACACAAGAAGCTCTTTAAAGCCTTAAAGCTCTTGAGCCGAGGATTTGCCGTCTTGAACATCATCAACGCCGTCTTTGTGCAGCCCCTGTCCCGGACAAGACCGATCGGATCGAGCTGTATCTTCGGGGTGTGTGTGGGGGGCGGGCGGTCGGTAGCCTTAGAAGGTTCAGGACACTCTGATCTCCCCACAGCTGCTTCGGTAGTAGTCCAGGCCGACGGGATTTTAGCTTCGAAACGCCCAGAGCATCCAAGGGGGGGCCCTGCAGACTTCATAGCAGTACTCCTTTGGAGTGATATTTTTTGGCACGGCAAACTGAACCCAAAGGCCCTGCTGCTAAACATTCCAGCCCATTCTAGGATGCCTCAGACCGCCCTGAGACCTCCATAGCTTCCGGCCGAGAATGCAGCGAGGCAGACTATGAAGACGGCGAGCTCTGATGAAGAGATTGCTTTCAAGCAGAAGGAGAAGGCCTCCCCGAGAGTTTCACAGAACACTCCAAGCTCCACTTGGAGGATCATGGGACTTAGGAAGTATGGTTATAAGTGCCTGAATTGGGGTTATAAGTTGTTATAAGTATAGTTACCCTAATAATAACCTTAGTTACTAAGTCCCATGATCCTTTAAGTAATCTCAAGAGACGCAGCGAATTCCCTCAAAACTTATCCCTAACTGGGCATGTCGACAGCTGGCTCTCTGAGACTGCACGCCGTCATAGCTCTCGCAACCTCAGAAAGGCCTCCTCTGCTGCGTGTCCATAGGGTTTTAGGGTTTTGGGTTTAAGGTTGTAGGATTTAGGGTTTATGGTTTAGGATTTAGGGTTTTAGGGTTTTGGGATGTAGGGTTTATGGTTGTAGGATTTCGGGTTTTAGGGTCTAAGGAGCATGAACTCAGAATGTCTTGCCTGCCTCATCTCGCAAGTTCCGCCTCTCAAATGACGCGGCGCTGGCTTCCAGGTTGCTGAGTATGCCACTTTCATGTCGGAATCATCGCCACCAGGGGGTTTAGGGTTTAGGGGTTTAGGGTTTCAGCATCATTGTCATGATCCTCATCCTGTCGTCGCTGCACCTCAATCCTCCGGAGCCCTCCCTCTCAAGCTGGAGAGCCAGATCCTCCAATGGCACTGCGATTCTTACACCAACCCGAAGTGCACAAGCCCGAGACCCGCGGAAAGAAACCCCAACCCGGAAACCCTCTAAGCACAGCGTTCCACAATCTGCTGATGTCGCTTTTTAAAAGGCTGGGAAAAGAGATTCCCTGCTGCAGGATATCCAGTCCTACACCAGGAAAGTCAAGAAGCTTTTCCAGACGATGGATGCTGGGCACTGCACAATTCGGAATTGTCTCATTCCGGAGTTTCCAGTGTTTGAAGGCAAAGCCGGAACTCGAGCGGAGCTCGACTAAACCTGGTCATGGTCAGGATGTCCCTTCGTATACCCTTGAAAGGCCACCGAGCAAGAAGCGAGTACCCTGAACCGTTCCCGATGACCTCACTGAAAGAAGACCGAGGATGCATCAGGAGATGGCGCCATCAACCTCACAGCGCCACGGCAGCAAGAGAGCACAAAGTGCCAGATCCGAACTCAAGAATGTGGTCAATGGCCCGTTATGGTTGCCGCCTGTTACGTGTTTCGCCGACACCATTACGACTGACGCTGATGGAAGCCATTTTGGCGCTGAAGAATAACATTAAAGTGCAGGTTATAATGCACATAGATCTGATGAAAATGATGACCTGAGAATCAGAATGGCGGTCAAGAGGATAACATGGTAATGATGGTGATGGTGATGATGATGATGATGATGATGATAATGACGGTGATGATGATGATGATGATGATGATGATGTGGTGGTGGTGGTGGGAGCCATGACGCACAATGAGACTGGAAGCAGGAAACTGCGTTGATAAATACACATGCAAGTTTCAATACCAACGACATGCAGCAGCAGCAGCAGCAGCACCAGCAGCAGCAGCAGCAGCAGCACCAGCAGCAGCAGCAGCAGCACCAGCAGCAGCACCACCAGCAGCGCCCCCACTGCACCAGGCGTCATTTACGACAGGAGTACAGAACAAAACTAGATATGAAGGCAGTGCGAAGGCCAGTGGCAGCAGGTGGTGTAGCAGCAACAGCAGTGGTAGAAGACGTCGTCGTCGCCGTAGTAGTGGAATGCTGTTGTTGTTGTACCCGCAGCGGCAGGTCGTTGCTGTTAGAGGCGACGCGACATACAAGAGTAGAGTAGCGTCAGGGATGAAGGAGGAGCAGGAGTCCCAACTGCGGCACATGTTCAACTCCTGGCCTCGTGTTGATCTCAGTGACAGAGCAATCATGATCCCGAGCTCTCGTCCCAAGGAGTTTTCGAAGCTGGTACAATCTCCAAAACTGAAATTCTGGATGGGCCAGCTTGAGCTGGAGTACCACGACCTACTCAGTCTCTTCGAGTGCCTCGCTTCCCTTAAGGTTCAGTGTTCAGGACTGCTTGGGGTTTGAAGCGTCGAATCATTCCAAGGGCACCCTGGGGCGAAGAGGCCCTGTAAACAGGATGGAATTTTCGGGGCGTCCTAGGCCTCATCAAGATCACATTACTGGGAAACTGCGGAAGCCGAAGTGAGGCGTTGTAAACCGATGTGAAGCGCAAGATCGGAGCATTACAGTCGAAGCCCCAAAAGTCAGATCCTTGGGGATTGTGTTGTTCGAGGTAGGTTATCAGTTTTCTGCAGGGCACGTTGCAGAAGGAGTCTAGCTAGCCTTTCATTTAGCCAGGGCTTCAGGGCACCTGGTCCGGCCACTCCCCCCCCGAGGTTTCTCGATAACGGCGATGGTGAGATCACCCTCATGGAGACTCTGATGCTCCGTGAGTGGGCTTTTCAAGGGGGGCGCCATACTTTAGGCCTTGAGCCTTGGGCTGTTCCTTCCAAAAGGAACTCCTGAAACCGGAAGGGCTTCACGAAGCACGCTGACAAGCTTAGAGCGCGAGCAACAACAAAACCCACTCCAGAAAATGCTGCAGACGACTCTCAAACAGCAAGTGTCGCGGATGCCAGCACGGCAGTTTAAAACATGTGGTAGATGTTTGCCGATCAGCTATCGCGACTAGGGGCGTAAAAGTCTAGAACTTCTGCTTCAACTCAAAAAACTGGGCTCGAAAGCCACTTGCAAGGTTCCCAGGCCTTTAAATCACAAGCAAGTCTCCAGAAGTCCTGAACGCCTGAGTTTCCAGACATCTCGCAGGAGTTCATTGACGGAGCCGCACGGCTGAGGGGTAGTGCTTCTTGGCTGGAGCTTTCGTCGCTTTGCTTTGAAGACTGAATTATTGGACCCCTGGGATGTGCAGGTCGAATGTCAGATCAATTCCTTTTTGTTGAAGCTTCGGTGCTTCTCCAATGAAGACTGTCTCTTACATGTTGTAAGCAATGGACTGCGGCCAGCACCCACAGAGACACCAAATCCAATCCGCCCAGCACGCACCGTTTCAGCATGTCTCACATTGACGGCCCCTGCCCTCCAAATCGTGAGCAACTGATGCGGCCGCAAAGCGCCGCACATCGAGCAGCTGTATGTACGGCACGCCATCCCACAACATGCAAGTTTGTTTCCGGTATGTTGCATGGCGACTGTTGGCAACGTACATGCAGCACATGCATGCACATGTTTGCAGAGAGAGAGAGATGCACATTTAGATATAGCTTCCCAGATATACACAGATTCAGCTGGGTTGATAGATTGGTGAGCAGATGCGCGTCTCTTTGCAACATACGCATGTAAGTATGCATGCATGTGTGCATATATCAATGTATGCGTAGGTATGAGCATATATATTTACATACATACATATTTATATATGTTTATTTGCATGTATGTATGTGTATGAAGATATATATATATATATACATGTATATATATAGACATATGTACACACATACATAGATACATACATACATACATACATACATACATACATACATACATACTCACATACATACATACATATTCGCATGCATACGTATCAGCACTTGTGCGTGCATGCGTAATCCCGTGTCTGAGCGCAGTGTCTTCAAGACTGCAAGGCGAAAGCGCTGGATATCTGGCGCGTGGAGACCAAGGTTGAGGCACCCTTGGTTCGCATGGCCCATGCTTCCTTAATCGAGCAAAGATCTACCGGTCACCTCGAAATAGTGACAACTCTATTCATTTGCTGGGGCATGCTTTGCAGTGAGAGTTTGTCAAGACATGCGGTTGTGTTGTACAACGGCCCGCCTCCCCACTGCAACCCTGTCGATTCAGCGTGACAAGCGCAGCTGTTCTTCTTCACAGCCGTCCTTGAACTCCATGCTTGTTTCGTGACAGTGTCATTCCTACTGAGCCCATCCAGACACGTACTAAGTTGGACTTGACGTCATACGAGCCTTCAGGAACTGCTCGCTGTTTCTGCCACTGACTGTAACGGTCGGAACTCCTGGCTCTATGGCTAGCCACCATGTCAGCCACAGTAGCCACATCGGAGTCGTCGTCCGCAAGCTAGCCCTGGAAGCTCAAGGTGCTCTTCGAGGAGGTTTTAAAACTCCTGCAGCCAAACACGGACTCGGTGGGCTTGCAGCCTCTCGGTTGCAGTAGCTCGGTTTGGTGCTCACCGTGGGTAAGTTGTTGGCTCTTGTTGTACACAGAGAACGAGCCAATGTTGTCGAAGGTATTGTGCCGATGTTGAAGCTGCAAAGTTAAGTTGAAGTCAGCATGATTCCCGGTTGTTGCTCGAAACGTAAATACGACCTTGATCAAGGTTCTTGCAGCCGTGTCCACTGCTTGTAGCAAGCATGTCGGAGACTTCAGGAAAGCTACCTATGATCAACCGAGGAGCGTGCAGAAAGTGTTCAACAACTCGTCTTACAGCCACATAAAGACGACGCAGATGGTGCGACAAACTTCTTAATATTTTTCCATCGCCTCCTCCTGATAATCAGGAGTTGCTGCGTGTTTGCTTCTTTGCATTGTCCCTATAGGGCGCTGCAGAAGAGCACACGGAGTTCAAGCAGAAGGTGTGCAACTCCCTGCCTGAGTGTTTCGTCGCCTGTCACAGCAGCACTGCCTTCTAGCCAGGGTTGCGAACCATACATGCGGACGCCCCGCATCCCACCGTTATGGACAGTCGACCATGACGCTAAACTGGCACATCTTCGGAAACTAAGAGACTAGAGAGGCTCTGCTGTCTGTTGCTGGGCGTTGACATGCCACCCTGTTTCACGTCGTTGGTGACGAGTTTTGCCTGCGACGTTGGATCAAACTTAGTCAGATGAGAGTTAGAGGCTGTTGTGAAAGGCCAGCGCAGCATCATCATGTACCGCTGTCGGGACATGTCCTTGGCTGAAACCGATGCTGAATCATTTAACTGTTGAACCAGTTTAGTCAAGAATTCCTATCTCTCGAATGATCCAGTTTAGAGATGTTCATGCTTTAAGCTGAGAGTTTAAGCCGCTGTATTGTGAGGGGTAGGGCGAGTTTCGGGCTCACTTGCGGGTTTGCTGATTGCAGGCTTTGAGTTGAGCACATTTGCAAAAGCTGTTGGGACATAGACCGCCATGCGCCATGAAAAAGACGCGGCCACGGGTTTTTTCCGGCTGCCGCCGTCTTTGCAGCAGCACGACCCGTCGAATGACGGGCACGGCGGTCTGATTCTAGTGGCTCGCAGCCGTAAACAAGTGCGCATGAGACAGATTGTCGAGATTCCATCGGCTTTGCTTGGGCTTCTGGTACTTCTGAGCAGCAGCGATTGAGCTCCTAAATGCTTGAATGGAATGCAACTGCAGCGGGAATCCCTTAGCTTTCACCCCGAGCAATATGACACCGAGCTCGCATATTCCTAGCCCAAAACTCCCGGAATTTCGAAGACTTCGAAAATCGGCAGCCATGCCCCCATGCCCCCTTCAAAATCTTCGGAAGGCACATCTGCATCTCAGGCAATCGAATCCATGGAGGGTGTGGAGGAATTCGTGCCGCGGGTTCCTCAGGCTTTGGCCTATCAGAGCTCTTGCCTTGGCGTCTTGGTTTCGTTTTGCCGCTATAAAAACCTTTCAGACCTCTACACATATCTCTATTTATATATATATATATCATATATACATATATATCATATATACCATATATATATATATATAGAGATATATCATATAATGTGAGACTGATTTGGGCCGGCCCCGCAGTGAATTGCTGTTGGAACTAACCATAACGACATTTTGGACTGTGGTCTTATTTCCAGTGACGCTGCTTACTGCCCTAAACCCTAAACCCCTAAACCCCTAAACCCCTAAACCCCTAAACCCCTAAACCCTAAACCATTTCCCTCTTTTTTTCGCCATGCACCTTCGAGAACTCAGGCCCGCAATCTTGAGCAACTCCCATCTGAAGACCTCAGTCGCAACTAGGCCATGTAGCTGCCCCCACAGTCCCAAGCTTTAGGTGTTTCCAAATTCGAACCCCTGCGAAATCCCACCGTCTACTCAGGCCTATCGGGACCCCCTCCTGTCGTTTGTCACTCTCAGGCCCCGAATTCCAACGGTCTTCATCCTCGCAGTCCGGCGCCGAGCGTACAGCTTCTGACAAATTTGAGTTGGGATGTAAAGCAGCGAGAAGAGCTGCTTTGCTCCGGGCCTTAGGCAAGCATCGAAAAGCCCTGACTATCAACCTTAAGCCGCAACCTAACGTAGCAACAGCCGACTTCATGGGGGTCAGGCTGTGCGATCCTTTGCTCGCTGAGAAAAGCTTAAGGGTTCGGGGTTTAGGGTCTCAAAAAACCCAAAGTCTCCGCTCACTCCGAGGATCAGGGACAGGCGTTGCCAGACTCCCAGCTTTTGCAAAGAGATGTGGGTTGTCAAGTGCGGTCACTGGACTGCGATGTCAGGGGCCCCGGTTAAACGCAAGCATGACAGCTTACAAAAGCTGGAGGTTTTGAGACATTGACCCTGAAACCTCCTTTGCTTCGTGCAAATCTAGGTCCCGTCACTTGAAGAGCCGGGTGCACATGGCGAAGGTGGGTGCTGACGGCACGGGGCTTGGCTGTGGAAGATTTGCTTGATTTGTTTGAGTGAGGTAAGTGCTTTCGTTGAGTTTCACTGTTTGGGGTTCTGGGCTACTGCATTCGCGCATGAGAACGTTGGTGCAATCTTTGACGAGGACTTGCCTGTAAAGCGCAAGGAACAAGATTCTGCAACGGCAGAAACGCAGAATTTGCCAATTGAAGTTTTGCTTCCACATCAGAAATACGCACTGCGCGAGTGTATCTTTCGGGTCTCCTTCTTCCACGAGGAGGAACATGTCCTTCGTTCGCAGTGCTGCTGGCACTGCTACTGCTACTGCTACTACTACTTCTTCTTCTGCTACTATGCCTACCAGCATTGCTTCTATTTTTACCTTTACGCCTAATCCTGCTACGTGTTTGTCGCGTTTTAGGGAGCCAATTACAATGCAAAGCCCGTGCTGAGGCCTGGAAATGTCAAAGCGAATTCAGTCGACCGTGGTTTTTCATTGCAACGAGGCCTGGATTGTCTTTGTGGGGTTCGTCTTTCGCGGCAGCGGTTGCGTTCTGTGCTTGTGCATTCGCAAGATCTAGGAGTCAGGGAAACGAGCTGGCAACATGCATGCTTGCGGAGAATCCTAGAGAACATCAGACTCAGGCCGGTGTTTCAGAGTTATGTTTCTCTTCCCAAAGACCCAAGTTTGCATATAGCCAAACCGAAACGCAGAGCTTCTACTCCGCACAAGCGAAACGTCATTTGCACATTGAGTCTCGCCCCGAATCTTTCGAGAGTATGCGAATCTGGTCCCAGAGTTGTAATTTGCCGTGCTTCGCGGGGGTTCCTGAGTCCATGTGAGGAGTTTCAGACCCGGAAGTCAATGTGCCAGAGCGGCGACGCAGTCGACGTCGCTCGGTTAAACTTGGATGGTTTTGAAGCTTCAGGCTCGGGGATCACATGCGTCATTCAGCTCTATGTTTTCGAGTTTGACATATTTTGGTAGTGCAACACACCAACCTTCCGGGTTTTTTTCTGCAGCTTTCAGCGATGGAAGATTTGAAGCATCGGAACTACAGTTGCGCTCGAGAACATGTGAAGGGTCCGCAATGCCAAGCCTGGTAGCAAGCTTGTCTAAAGCAGATCTGCAAAGGAGATCGAGACCCCGAAAGCACGAACGGACAACCAATTGGTTGAGTCACCGTTGACCCGTGTTTGCAACGATGTGAAGTAAGCCCTTTTGACGTTGTACATGTAGTTGTCCGCATTCAAATCCAGATCCGCTGTCTTTATAATCTGACTTTCGCAAGCTTCCACCCCACCAAACCCTCCTGTGCAAAGGTGAAACTCTGGGTGAAGTCCACCACCTTCGAGCCGAGGTCGGTCGGCATAGAAATCTCATGCTCAGTCTTTTCAAATGCTTGAGATACAAAGACGACCGTTGCGGAACAGGTGGAGCGTTTCCTTGCAGGGAAACTCGTGTATTGAAAGTCAAGATCTGTAGTCCATTGCAGTGCTTGGGCAGTCGTGCTGAAGCACTGCACACAGGGTTCTATTGTCGACATGAAAACGCTCCTGAGGCATACAAAAAAGATCCCTTTTGGCAGAAAAATACCATTTTATCGGTGAATCCTGAACATGCGCCCCGCAGCTGCAAAACAGAAAACCTCAAAAGACAAGCAACTGAAGCAGCGCATTTTTCTCCCCTTGAGTTCGACTCTGAAGCTTTGCGGTGCAACAGTTGCGTTGCCAATGATCCCGAAGCCAAACCTCACCAGTCGGATGCCTTCGCATACCCGTGGCAGCTCGTGCCTCAGTTTGGGATCGGTTAATGGCCCGAGATGGGTGCGCACCTTGCTCATCCGGTTTCTACGCCGAAAGTCTGTGCACATGATCTCGAGTTGGTAAGCAAGCTTGTTTTGCCTCAGCTCTGAACGATTTTCCCGGCTCGTATCCAGGCTCCTCTTGGGACGAGCTTCAGATGACAATGGCACAGGCAACGCCAATCCGAGCTAGTGTGCATCGGGCTTGAGCTGAGGAGGCATCACCAGCGTCTGCTGCTTTATGTTCCCAACGCACACAGCAATACCGAAGTGGCTCAGTCATTCCCCAATCCCCAGATGCCTATATCCTCGCGCAGGCCATGACAGAGCAATCCACCTCTTTGCGGCTGCTCAGGACAGTTTTCCTGAGCTGCGAGCAGCTGAAATCGGACAGTTGCGGGTCCGAAATATGAGGCCTCCTTGGCAATGCCCCAGTATGTTGCATATGGACGCCATAAAAAAGATCCATGAAATGAACAACTTCTTGGGAAGCTTAGTAAAGTTTCAAGCCACTCCTGCGAATAAAACTCTGTTCTTTTCAGTTGGCTCATGTGGTAAAGGGCAGGCGACCCACCTGAAACCCTGCAACTAAAGCTGTTGGACATATATAGCAGTAAACATTCTGAGCGCTCTCATTCCAAGACCAATTATCCAGGGCACACGTCTTGGACGTCTTTCCCAAGAATGGCAGCCTATTGGTGGAGCCCTTAACTGTGCTCGTGCGCCAAGTTTCAACCGCGAGAAAAGCTGCAAGCTTGGCAAACCAAAGATGTCTTCAATTGAAACGACAGGTTGACACGAATCTGCGAGCCAGCAAAACAAAGCCATGTTTGTCGACTTGTGCAAAAACAACTCAAATCCTAAAGGCTGTCAAACCTTCGACTGTTCGAAACCACAAAATGCTTTTGCGGCAAACCTAGGTGCAGTGGATGAGCGAACAGGACCGCTGGGGAGAGAGAGTGGATGGACGAAGAAGAAGAATCGGTGGAAACCATGGGAGACCTTTCGATTAGAAAAAGCGTTGTGAGCCATGTGCTGTTAGACTTCACGGCGGCTCCTTCCTGCTAAAATTCACGCATATCCAAGAAACCCTCCAGCCGCAACCTGTCATGACTTTGTTTGGAAGCTCGTCAAGTCGTCAAGCTTCCGGAAGAGCCCGAAGATCAGGAGCAAGATCCCATCCTCGGAAGCATCCCTGGGATGAAGGTAGACGAAGAGGCATGAGAACATGAGAACGTGTTTTTTGGGTTTTCGGACTGGCAAAGACCTTCCTCGGCTCTGCAATCGCGGAGGCCATCGCGCTGGTTCCGTTGGGGTCTGCCTTCCGCGATGGCGTGCTGTGCAGCAGTGCAGGGGTCCTAGAACATGCAGTTTATCGTGCACGGGCAGCGTTGCAAACTCAGATGTTTGTCTTCGCGATTGCAGTTTGAGCAGGGGTCGTGTTCGAGAAGTATCACACTCTCGTTTTGGATGCGTGTTGCACCAACCGTTCCTCGTTGCTCCCGTAAATCACATCCCAGGCACCTAACGCTTTCATCGAGAAACTCCTGGAACCCATGAGCTGCCAGGTCCGGACGAAATTGCTGCCATTCCGATTATATGCGAAATCGCCTGCCCTGACAGGCGGAGTTTCTCGTGCATGTTTCTGCGCTGTGCGCAGATGGTCGCTCGAAGCTCGGCATGAGCGTGGCCAGCAAGACCATTTGACAAGACAGTCTTGCTGACTCACTTCACTGCCACTTTGCGTCGTTCGAGGTCTCGCGCCAGAACAGAGCCGGCCAGCTCAGGCACTCCCTCGGCTCGCATGGTTTTTCCCTTTGCACCAGTTCACAACAGATGCTTCAAGCATCAATGCATTCAAAAGCATGCAGGATAAAGCAGATCATGCCTTCAAAAGCAATTCCTTTCCTGATTGTTCTTGACTGTGCTTCTTTTCTGCAGGCAATTGCCTGTGTCGCCAACGAGAGCGTGCTTGAAGGAGCCTATCATGCATCATGCATGGAAATAAATTTGTTAACCGGCCATCTCTCAAAGACCAGCACATGCCGTTTGCGATGTATGCATCTTGCTGAGGACAAATGCAACCCAGATGAATGGCAAGAAAATGTTCTGGGAGAGTGGGATTATAGAAGAGGTCTTTTTTTATAGATTAGAATTATTGTCCACGGAATCTCCCAAAATTAAAACAATATATTTTGATTTTATAGAGATACAGTCATTAAAAAATTGACGAAATCTAGAATATCTAGGATCAAGTTAATTTTAGAATAGAAAGATTTTTGTTGGTAACCATATGAATGATATTATTTTATGATATATTAATAAATAATTGGTAAGATATTTTATATTTCTTTTTTATTTTTCTATTTATATATTGATAATAATTTCTTGATTCTTATTCGATTTGAATTTCTTCTTGAAAAGATTCAATATAATTTTAAAAAAATACTTATATTTTTGAATAAGAATATGATATATATTATCAATAATGAAATATGAAATAACTTTAAAAATTATATACTATATCTATTAAAAAAATTGAAAAATTTATATTTATTTCAATAAGAAATTTTGAATATTAAATAAGTCGAAATAATATTTTTTGATAATGATGATATCGCGGGTATTTGTAAGTTTTAGTTTCTATGGAATCGGTAATCGAAAAAAATAAAGTTTTCTTCTAAATAACTCTTATTCTTTTTTATTCTTATTATGATTTGGAATTGGTGCTTCGATGGTATTGAATAAAAAAGGAAAAGATTAAATTCAAAAATTCTTTTTTGGTTTTTATATTCTGAATTGAAAATATATTTCGGATTTTGATTTGAAATTGTAACGATATTTATTAATAATTGAATTATCTTAATTCAAATACATTTATTTTAATTAAAAATTATAAATTTTAATGAAAAAATTTTGGAATTTGATTATTTCTAGAAGCTTTTTTTTTCCAATAATTAAGATGTAAGCTCTCAAAAAATTCGTGTCTTCGCAGTAATGTTTCTCTACAATAATATTTGTTCGTGTATTGATATTAAAAATTTTGATGATGTGAACGTCTTTAATTCTGGTTAAATCAGTAATTGTGACATGAAAATCGTGGTAATGAAAATGTCAAGAATTGATTGGAAATTAAAGTATACGTGGAATCTAAGAAAATGCAGGAAACACACAATGTGATTTTAAACAGAACAACGACTGAATACAACAATCATGGAATGAAGTGGAAATACTCTCGGAAAGGGAATTAATTGGAATGGATGACTGGTTTCAAAGCAATAGTTACATAATCCCGTCGGCCGATTTTTCGTGTGCTTCTTCCTTCGACTGTGGTTCTCATTCTTCTTTCGATTCCGTCGGTTTTTGTCGTTTGACGGCACAAAAAACCTACCGCTGTTGATGAGGATTGAAAGCCACGCGATGATTGTCAAACAAGTGAATCAAATGAATTGCTGAATAAATCATCAGAAAACATTTTTCACAAATCTCAAATAAAAAAATTGATGGGCCGAAAAACCCAGCACGGCGATGAAAATGAGTTTGAAGAAGATATGATGATGATGCACATGGTGAAACGTTGGCTGGTCGCAGTGGAGAATGCGTCAAGGGATTTGGGACATCTTCCTGCCTGTGGGTATCGGTCCCTTAAGATTGGAGCCCGGATACATGGCCACTTCCGTAGGTTCTAGTGGTGGAAAAACGAATTTCGCGCGAAGTGTGGGTTGGCAATTGGGAAATCTGGGAAGTGAAATTTGTCGATCAAAAAAAATCGTCGTTAGGTTTTATAACAAAACAAGCCCGTGCCGTGCTTGACCTGTCCTGGTGCGGGCACCAGGAGAGTGTCATCCAAAACAGAAGGCAAGACCTGTAAAAGAACGTCAGGACGATACAGATCTTCAAAACAACAAAAAACCATCATATATGAATAATAAGAAAAACATATCCTTGCCCAAGTTTGCCTTTTTTGAACGGATGGGATTTAAACAGAGTTAATCCTTTCGAACCCGGAACGTAGCGTTGGCAACACAGCCATTACGCACTTCCCGTCGTGTAGAGGACTTGTGCCCATTAGAAAAGCTTGCAGGCTAACAGAATGAGCCCAGAACCGCACGTACAACGACAATCCCGTTTTTCGTGCATTTCAAGCAAGTGGAGAAAAATGAGAGAGCGCGGGGGGGTGAAACACTGACTATTACATATCCAGGTGCATCAAGGTCCGAGCAAAGGACGATCCAGCTGTGCGCCTTGAGTACAAAAAACTCCTGAGTGCCTGTGTTTCTGCACACCTTCCCGGAGAACGGAAAATTCACTCGCTGGAGACTCTCCTTGCTATCCTCTGTGTTCCTTCCTGTGAGCCTGCTGAGGAGATGACTATTACCCCCAAAATGGAACTGAATCTGGTGTGACCCCACTGAGCTAGACAATGCCAAGCGTTGACCCGCGTTGCGGAACCGTTTAGAAGGACAAGCGGCAATCCACAAAAGGCTCCTCGACAGAGATCTTCTGAACGATCCGAACAACGGAGACAGGCTTTCGAAGAATTTCCTCAAGCCTCTCTTTGCCACGAACGAGGAAGCAATGCAACACGCCAGGACCCTGTCTGATCTTAATCAAGATCAGCGACAGGTGGTGACATCCCCAACGACACACAGGAAACGCGTGTACCAAAACTACCGTCGATAATCCACTGGTCATGGTGGCCGAATAAACGGAAAGAAAAGCAGGTCTCTTTTTGCCGAAGAGCTTGTTCATGGCAGAGCGAAGCATGGACCACAGACAATGGAATAATGGATGGTGGGTTTAATTTCCTGTGGGCTACGGCTCTTACAAGC